ACGACTGATTGGACGACGACGGAATGGACATCCGCTTGGCCTTGACTTGCACCCCGAGCCGCATCAGCGCCGCGTTCAGCGTCTCACCCACCTTGGAGGCGCCCGAGGACTTCATCACCATCGACACGATCTCCTCCAGCTTGCGCTTCATCGCGGGTGCCACTTCCAGCTGTCGAAGAAGCACGAGCGCCAATGAAATACGAGAATCAATTATATAGAGCAGGGGTGTCCAACTTGCAAGACTTCAAAGGTCACGACTACAACCTTTAATTTTGTTGCGAGCCATATTTACAGTACTTGGCCGATCCACACCTGACTTCCCCTTATTATTGTAGATCTCGGCAATTTGCCCGGCTGCTCTGAATCGGGGCGAGAGGAGGAAGAATGGAACCGCGCCTCGAACCTCCCGAGATCTTTCCTTCGCAGTTCAGGTCTGCACCCCTCCATTTTAACACACACACATATTAGAGCCCGTAAGTTAATGCATTTATTTCATCTAAAATAGGCCGGTAAAAGGGCATTTATTTTTACTATAATATACGAACAATAATACATTTATTCTGGCTAAAGTAGATAGGTGCATAAAGATATTTAAACAATGAACAATCACCATTTTAAAAGAATGGCTGTAAAAATGTAATTCAAATGATTCACATGTTTATTCTAACTTCAAAATTTATATTAGCACTTACATTGAAGGAAACGATTATTTCTTTGTTGCCCATAAGATTGCCCACTCGGTATGATCACTACGAATTTGTTTTACTCGCGGTGCAGTCTTTATGAAATGCTATTGCTAACTCCAGTTTGAATCTTAAAATTGCGTAAGTGAAAAACAAATTGTAGTTTTCATTCTTCACATTTTTCTAATCTCCAGCACCGAGAAGGGTACATCATATACATGACTGCTCTGTCTTTAAAACGGATCGTATGCCATACTCAAAAAAAATGTATCGTGAGTGAACAAAGCCCGCCGTCGTCAATTTAAATTTAAAAAAATCTTGCCCTGAATCATTCTCCTTTCTCATTTATATTTTTAACACTACCTGCCATGAAGCCTCCGCTTCCACAGAAAAGCAAAATCTAACACCTTCGTGTTGCCCATGCTTGCATGTACGTTCCCAGCTTGATCTAGTTCAGTGCCAGGAGAAAACAAGGAAATAAATTCCGGAAAAGTAATAAAAAGGCTAAATAAGGCAAAATACCAAAAATAGTCTTCTTAGGCTAAAATATGCTCAAATAGGCAAAACAAGACAAAATGAAAATTGATTAAAATAACTCCAGAATTACAATTAGGGTATTCTTATTGTTAAAAGTGTGAAATCGTAAAAATAAAAAAAGTTGGATCGGTAGAGTTTAAATGCGCCCGTCAGCCTGAGAACTATGCCGACGTAGCCTAGCTACCGGTCGGGCCTCCTCAGCTGAATAGGTTGAGGATGAGAATGAGACGAAGAAGTGCTCCCGAGGAGAGCCTCAACTGCATCTCCGACGAAGAAAGGAGGGTTATTGAAAATGGCGTCGAACATTTGAGCGCAGCGTCTTATCCGTAGCGGGCGGATGCAAAAAGCATGTCTCCACGTTAGGGGCGGCTGCTTCCAAAGCTGGAAGAATGCCGAGAGGGAAGGCTCATGAACATTTGGAAATCCTTGTTATCGACCCAAGGAGGGTGTAGAAGACAAATTGGGTTGGCACACCAGGCCGCTTATTAGAGCAGAGGCCTAAACTTTGTATGAGGCAACGAAGGAGGCTACCTTCAACAGTCAGTGAAAATGCTTTAGAGTTTAGTAATTTTAACTGGTGATCGGAGGAACCTTTACTGGACCATAAAGGGGTATGAACCGAGGCAACCATGGGACTTCGTAACGGATAACCGTAAATGGACCTCGAATCAAGTGTAATCTGTGAACACGGACTTACTTCTTGGGAAACTTTTTTTGAAATCAATTATGCCGAACCTCCTTCAAAACGAGACAGAACGAGTTCGCGTACTTCTATTCGAATCTCCATGCCGTTGAGGAGAATATAGGCGCGATAGCCCGTGAACGGGCCCAGACTTACCGTTGACGTCCCTGCCTCGCGACCATGGGATAAGGGGGTATGTGTGGTTAACACGTAGACATCCCCACGCGATATTCCGGTGTGCTCCACCTGAGAAGTGAATTTTCTCATCGTAACACAGCAACATATTCTGGGACATTGCAAGGAAAACGCGCCTTGGCTCAACAAGGAATCGAACCCGGAGCCGCGTAGTGGAAAGCTGACCAAGAGCTAGCCACGAGCCCAACAGAGACATAATCTGTCTTAAATAAGGTGATACAGGCCCCAGGTAGACATCTAGAAATTATTGAAACCAAACAAATCGTAAATGGGCTCGTAGCGAACTCTTGGTCAGTGTAAGTTTATGTGTATGTTGTATGTGTGACAATGAGAAAACTCGCTTCTCAGGTTGAGAAAACCGGAATACGGCGTAGGAATGTCTACATGTGCCCTAACCAATGGTCTTGAGGCAGGGTCGTCGCCGGTAGGCTTGGGCCCGTTCACGGGCTGTCTCGCCAAGTTCATACATGCATGCAATCACATCGTGAATACAACTGGATATTTGGTATCTCATGTAATTATCGTTATCAGGGCCCAGCAATAAGAGTTTTTTTTCTGCCGAAAATTCGCCGGTTTTTTTTCGTGCAGCATTAAATACCTTCGTCTCTACTGCGTACGCGGTAGCGAGAAAGTACCGGGCCTGGCCACTGGAGCAGCCGTGAGGCGGCGTACCTCGGAGTGCGTGCCGGAGAGCGCGTCGTCGTCTGGCGCGCGCTGCTGCTTCTGCTGCTCCTCCATCTGGCGCAGCATGGCCTGGCCCGCGGCCACCGGCGCCGCGCCGCCCGGCGGCCCCGCGTGCAGCACGGGCTCCATCACCACCTCCGCCCCCACAAAGCGACACCAATCCACCTCTCGCACCACCACGCCTATCCACTCAAATTAATGCTATCCGCGACACAATTGGGCATTTCATACTTTTGTTTTGTTATTATCACTAGAATCGGCCATCAGGGTGCCACGGGAAATGTGCATCCCACCCGGACTCGGTCTTGATTATCGGGGTGGGTGCACGTTACTTTCCATTGGGTTGATCAACATTTAATGCTGATTCCATTTTTACACCCTAAGGTTGCATGCCGTGGGGAGTGGGGTGATAGGAAGTTTATGATGAAATGATGAAATAGACACACGCATGAACATACAGAGATACACACTCATTGTAATTATTATTATTATTATTATTATTATTATTATTATTACTATTATTATTATTATTATTACTATTACTATTATTATTATAATTATTATTATTACTATTATTATTATTATTATTATTATTATTATTATTATTATTATTATTATTGAAGTGATATGGTGATTATGAGGGGTGAAAGGACTAGGATGATGGTGGGAGGTGGGGTAGTGGGAGGTGTTAAGAGATATTTTTGGGACCATCGCATAGTACAAATGCCGGAGCACCATCATGAATTTTGACCCAACTAGTGAAGCTTTTAGGGAGCTTTAAGTGTTCGTGTACTGAGATAAAATGCTTTGGACAAACGTAATGATGTTTTACGCTAATCGCATACACCAAAGTCCGAAGCTTCGTCATGCAATTGGGCATGTTCAGCGAAGAGTCAATTCGCGTTAGACGTTAGAGATTATAAACAGGCCATTCCCCTCGCGATACCATTTATTAGTTTGCCAAGTTCTCGGGAAAGTGGGTCGCGTGCTTTATTTTCGTTGTTCTGAGGGAAAGAGCTCATGAGCATGAAAAGTGCAATGCGTGCGGTGCACCTCCGCCTCTCCGCGCGACAGCTCGGCCGCCTTGCGCTGCAGCAGGGCGCGTCGCACGGCGCACATGGCCTTGGCGGGCGACAGCTTGCGCCGCTTCGCAGACGGGCCTTTGGACGAGCACGGCGTCTCCGCCTGACACACACACACACACGGCTGGTGCTTGCGACACACCCCTTGCACATACAATATAGTTGTACAAAACAAGTTACCATATGTGTTTTTCTGGGCTAGAAATTTGCTTCTTGAGTGCACTGGTACCAGGGTTTTGGATGAATGTGTGTTGGATTCTTGTGTGTTGAATTCTTGTGTGTTGGATTCTTGTGTGTTGCGTGCTTATACTTTGCGTGACTGTGTGTTGCGTACCTATGTGTCGTGTGCCTAGGTGTGCGTACCTAGATGTTGGGTGCCTGGGTGTTGAGTGTCTGAGTGTTGTCTGTTGTAAAAGTCTTCTAATTTTACCAGCGGACCGTCAGATATTAAATTGTGGATTTGGTGGTTCGTAATGTCTAAAAGGTTGCCGACAGCTGGTATTATGCAATGGAGAGCTTCTTTTTCTTTTCTGGGTTTTCGGTGCAGAAAGACGAGAAAGAAAAAAGAGAAAGAAATCAAGATGGAATTGGAAGAAGAAGAAGAAGAGGAAGAGAAGAAGAAAAGGAAGTAAGAAGAAGAATAGAAGATAAGAAGACCAAAAAGATGATAAGGAAGAAGAGGCAGAAGAACAGGTAGTAAGAATGAAGTAGGGGAGGAGAAAGAGGAGTAAAATTGTAAGGGAAGTAGAGGAGGAGCAAGAGAATAAGGAGGAAGAGAATAAGGAGGAATAAAATTAGGAGGAAGAGGATAAAGAGGACGTGAAGGAAGAGAAGGGGCAAGAGGAGAAGGAGAAGGGGCAAGAGACGGAGGAGGAGGTGCAAGAGAAGGAAGAGGTGCAAGAGAAGGAGGAGAAGGATCAAGAGAATAAGGAGGAAGATGATAAAGAGAATGTGAAGAAGGAGGAGAAGGGGCAAGAGGAGGAGGAGGAGGGGCAAGAGTAGGAGGAGGAGAAGGATCAAGAGAAGGAGGAAGAGGATAAAGAGGACGTGTAGGAGGAGAAGGGGCAAGACAAGGAGGAAGACGAGAAGGAGTAAGAGGAGGAGAAGACGGATGAGGAGGACGGGGAGGTTGCTCACTTGCGAGTCCCCTTCCGCAGAGCGAACGGCGTCTCTGACGCGCGCCGTGAGCGCCTCCTGCGTGGCCACCGTGCGCTGCTGCAGGGCTTGAAGTTGCTGTTTCTGATGTTGTTTCATCGCCAGCTGCTGTTGTTGTTTGTGTTGCTGTTGCAGACTTTGTAATTGTTCCTGTCGCTGCAGCTGCTGGTGGTGCAGTTTCTGCAGCTGCTGTTGCAGTTTGTGGCGCAGCGAAGCTTCGGCGTCTCCACACAGCTCGGGCAGACTCTCCAGGTTCAGCTTCTTGAAGACAGATGTGAACTCCCCTTCACTCTGAACAGTCGGAATGTACACGAAATAGTAATAAATTGCCTCACAATAAATCAATTGTGAGATCAACGTCGATTTTTCTATGAAACAAAATGTTTCACTATATTGACTTCGTTATTCTATACATCAAACAGTGTGTAAAATTGTATTGTTCTCGTCGTCTTATTGAGCTACTTTTATAACTTCACGAGCATTTGATAATTCTGAAGTAGCCTTGAAATTGGTCTTCTGACATCAAAGATCCCCATCTCGAAAATGTAGTTCATCATCAGTATTTCCCAAGCAAACAATATTATTGAAGAAAAAAAACTGAATACAAAAATCAAAATACTTGCAAAGCTCTAAAAACTTCAAGTCTAGTCTTCACAACATGTCGTCACCTTTCCTGTTTCTAATAAAAAGGTAATTCAATTTTGGATGTAAATACCGATCTAGAAATTAACCCGAACAACTGAAAGCAAATTCAGTAAATAAAACTATTAAAAGGAAATTAATTTCCCTTTGAAAACCTTTTTAAAACTTCTTTATGTCACTGGATAAAATATAAAGTTGTAAAGTATGTCTATAAACCAGAAATGCAGAAAATATGCTGCTAGAATGCAAAGTTCCACTATTAAAGAGTCGATAACATTTTAAGGAAATTCCCCTTGCAAACTCTCTAAGTTGTAATAAATTCTCTCTCACAGCGCATGAAGTTCGTTGCGAGATCTGTTCGGTTCCGTGGCCTTATCTCGCCTTCTTTAAATCTTTACAGAGTGCTATCTCGCTAGTGGTTATGTCACAGCGTAGTCGAAGTGCGTGGCAGCTAGAAAACAGTCGATTGTGACCTCGACAAGGGCGAGTTTCCGGATATATAATAGATAAGAAAGCAATATGTTTGTCAAGTAAGGCCTACACGGAAATGTACGTAAACGAACTTCTAAATTGTTTATCGTGATCACTAATTTGATTGACTGATTGATTAAAGTCAATAGCACCATTATAGTGCAAACATAAAATCCCCCCTCCCGAAAAAATCCTTTCAGATATTCTAAAAAACTCTAAAAATATTATCATAATATTTATAAAATATTTTTAAAATAACTTTTAAATTCAAACTTTTTAATACAATATATAATACGCTATTATTTTACTACTATTTTACTCATACAAGCATTACATTCTTTCTGGGGCGCGGGGACGACATGGAGACGCCTTTGTAACCGCTCATTTTGCTTGTTGGTACATCCGAGCCCAATATGAATAATAAATTGCACTCTGCATTGTCATAAATATCGTCGCCTCTGTAGCATTACGTACGTGCATTTCTTCCCATGAATTTTTTTTTTCATTTGTGAGGATACGATCTTTTAGTGAAAAATACTTCCGAAAACCTTCCTCATAAAAATGCATGTCATCGCCTTAAAACTGATGGCACTAAAACATCACGTACTTTCTCGCACCATTCTCTTAAACGTCATTCACAAAATTTAATCAAAAACGATTGGGCCTTTTTTAGAAAATTTGGAAAATGTCCCAGGGACTTCATGTAAAATACCTCCAAAAATTAAAATATTGGTTTCAAATTCAAGAGGCCGCTACATCAGCCAGATCGATTGCGGCATATCAATTTTGGAGAATATAGGGTGGATGGTTTAGCTGCTAGCGTTGTTCACACACGGACAGACAGACGATTTTTTGGTATCAAGGATTCTGGCTGCACAAAACATGGATTCTGACTGCACCACGTGTTAGAGATCCCCCCCTAAATTTATCAACTGTATTTACCCACTTTTTTTATACCAGTACTATGAGTTTTTCTGCCGAAAATTCGCCGTTTTTTTCGCGCAGCATTACATAACTTTCTCTCTACTCTGTAGCGAGAAAATAATATATTATGTAATTATTATTAATTAATAAAATTGCGAAGTTTCAATTGTAATGAAATGTATCATTTATTTATTAACTACAATAAATAAAACAATTTTCATATTGGAATAAAACCAAGAGTGTGGTCTGTGAGGGGGAGCTGGAGAGGATGCGCACCGAGTCGCTGGACGCGTCCGAGTTGGCCGAGACGATGGGCTGCAGGGGCCGTTCCATGGCCACGCCGCGCGCCGCCCTCCGGGGGTCCATCCGCTGGCGCGCGGGGCCTCCGCGCCCCACGGCAGCTGCAACGCGGCCCAGCGCCACTCACCACCCACCCACGTTAAGGGACCAGCTAAGAGTCGGGACACTCCCTTTTCATAGCCCTTGACCCGTATTTTTTGAAAGGAAAACGGGACGCCAGAATGCCCTGTTTTTGTGACAATGACTAATCGGCATAACGTGTCGTCAACAATTTTAAATTCATCGTAATGTATTCCGTTGGGTTTGCATTAGTTTATAAAGACGTAAGCGAGAGTATTCATACGCTCATGTACCACATAACAACAATGGTTTACCGACAATTGAAACCAAAAGGGAGAGATATTCAGTGAAGGTTCTACGAAGGGAAAATGAGCTATCGTGTCATTGAGCTTGTATGCGCTTTACGCTATCGATAGCGTTACCGAGAAATTCAATAATCCGAATCTTCTACCGAAGTTTTCAAAAATTATATATTGAATGCCAAGATTACGTTGAAAATAAAGTATTACCACTTTTACAAGAAGTGATTTCTACAAATAAGTACTTGAAATAAATTTAAAATTATGGACTTTTTCTCTTTTTAATTATACTATTGATTTCCATTAACGTTAAAAATGTGTAGTTTATTACAGTGTGTTATATCGTTTTTTGTTATGTGCTTGTGTCTCGATTTGCCCCGTTTTTTAGTCAAGAAATGCCACAATGTCCCGTTTTGGGGGTTTTAAGATATGGCCACCTTAACCTACGTGAGCACGTGCCTCCACCCTCCCCCCCCCCGGGGGCAGTAGAAACCGACGGCGAGAGGGAACCCGGGTGCGCTGCCTCGATGGTGATGAGTGGTAGAGTCCGAGGTTGGTCCTCTCTAGGGTGAAGTGTGAAGTTTATTCCAATTCCTCTAGTAAAATGTATTTCACAAATTTTAGACACTGATGCCGACTAGCAACAAGAGACTATTCATACATTTAATTTCACTTCTTTTTCACAGGCCTATCTGGGCGTTCCTTGTATTTATAGATGCATTCAATCTTCATTCATGTTACCACTGCGCGCCAAAGATTTTGAATTTCAATATTCTTTTTTTTTCTCCCTGGGACTTTTTCCAGCTTCAGGGAATGTCGATTTCGTTGGCTATCCGCGCCGGGTACCCAATACGTCCGTCATAGGAACACATTTTAACCTTTTACACTAGACACACATGAGAGCACCTTGGACAGTGGTCAGCAGACTCACACTTTCTGCAACGGTACACATAGTACATAAAAGACAAGGGACAAACAGCCGTGCCCACGGCGGGATTCGAACCCGCGACCCTTCGGACTGAGGCGTTGTGTCGGCACACGGTCTAGACACCTCGGTCATCCAGGTCGGCCTGAGTTTGAATGTTTTTATGTATTTAATATTAAGTTACAGCTAATGTCCGAATCTAGCTAATTCGCTAATTATCTGATTAATATTCGGACTTCATCCACCCATTTTTGATAACGTGAAGTGTTCGCAGCTTCGAAGGCTAGTTCTGACAGTAGCCGAATGAAGTGCAAACTAGCCAATACGAGGCGGTCAGAGTCGGTGAAGAATGTTACAGTCAAGAATCGAGCTATCGGTTTATTGAATTACCCCACAAGAGGCACATATACCTACAGTATCTGATCATAAAGCTAGTAGTGCTTCAACAGCAGATACTTTCTCGCATTATTGAAAATGGTTTCACAATATTGAAATATTGTAATTTCTGCCATACGAAAAAATCATTACTTGGAAAGCTCCAATCCAAACGAAGTGTCTGTAGTAGGATGAGTAGTTATTTCTAACTTTTACAACTAAAACAAACGTGAATAAATTTAACTATTACGGTATTTGCAGCATATACAGAAAAGAAAGAATAATATTTCACACAAGCTTGCCTTGATTACACCGAAGTAAACTAAAAATTTCTGAATACCATAATCAGCGATCAAAACTTCTACGTTATAGCTATTAACATACCTAAAAATGCTATGAGTGGACGAGGCAGTAATAACACTGTAACATTTCTAGGTATGTTAAGCGTTTTACCGGTCATCATAAAATCTCAAAATCTTTGCGAAAATTTACATTACAGATAAGAAACAACTGAATTATTTTGCTGTGGCTCGTCAATCGATATTTGGATGATGGTGCTTGTGATGTATCTATTTCAACAATACATTCGTATACGGTGGCTCGAGGAAGATGGACGCGGAACATTCGCCTCTACCGCAAGAAATTTTAGATGCGGAAGCTACTCGAGATTCAATCCCAGAAAAATCCAAAGGACGATACGAAAAGGCATACCAAGTATTTAAAGCTTGGCAATTACAAAATCACGTAGACGTGATTGCGTAAGATGTAATGCTTGCATATTTTAAGAATTTTAAGTTAATTTACACGTATTCCTTTTATAAAGACAATCCTTTGTTTTACAAAATCACAGGCATGTAAGGTAACCTCATTATGGGTTTATTATTCAACGCTGAGATGATCACTAGGCGTAAATGAAAATGTGAACTTGAAAACATTCCACAACTTTTATGCATTCATAAAGAGACTGAACGTTGGTGTGCAAACAAAAAAAAAGCAAAAGGTTCGGCAAGTGACGTATGGAAGTTCTTGATAGAGGCTGGGAATCAAGATTATTTGTTTCACAAGGTACGATTATTATTACATTAGTATTCTGGAATGGAACAATATACAGATTTAGTGTAAAAGCAGTCAATGTTTTGGTAAGTTTCTCTAATATTTGGCTTCTTCGGCGCTTGTCGCTGAGATGAAAGATACCAGCTTCGTGTCAACGATGTAAAGAGGGAAAGTTCCATTCTCATTGTGCAAATTAATGATTCCAAAAATCATAATTCACGATTTTTACTATAGTTCCCAATGGTCCCGTAAACAATGTGGAAACACATATATGGTTTTTCGCACAAAACACATAGACCACAAAAATTCTTTCTTCTTTTTCCAACTGCGGAAAATGTAGATTACACGAAGTTGGCATTCACAAGATTGATGGAGTGCCAAAAATCATAGCCATCTCTCTTGGTATCCCAGAACCCGAAAGGTTACCCACCGGTCATTCGTTAAGAAGAACTTCGATTACGGCCGATTCAGGAGCTTCGGTTATAGATTTGAAACGTTTCGGTGAGTGGCGGAGCTCTATCGCAGCGGAATCCTATGAAGGGGAGTCCGTGGTAAATAAGGTGAAAATGGCAACAATAAAACATGATTATCGGGAAGGAAGGTGAAGCGTCTACTTCCAAAGACGACACCACTGTAAACATCACTGGCGAAGAGATTAATTTCGTGGAATGCCATGAAAATGATGCAAGTTTACCCAATATTTATTTTTCCAACTACACAATTAATAACATTACAATTAACAATGAGCATCCTCCAAAACAATGAGTTCTTTACTACTACTTATCTTGTAAATTACCTTGTTTTTAGTAATAAAATTGGCTTGCTATGAATCGGCAGTTGTTCATTTACGTTGCTAAGGATGCTAAATTTCGTACTATACAGGTAGGTACTACTCGCGCAAGTTTCCGTGATACACGAGGTCCCTAGTCCTCATCCAGGGCTGAATAGCACGGCAAGTTGATACACTTAGGTTTGACTCGGAACGGCACGTACAATGCTGGCAACAACCACCTCGTACTTTCAAAACAATCGTAACATTTGCCGTGGCTTGCTTAAGCGAGTTAAGTTCATGCCCACAGTTGGTACGCCCTTTTCAGCCGTGACGTAGCCAAATCCCTCCGCTCCCCGCACCACCTGCTAAGGAATATGAAGAAAAATTGCGCGTATAGTACAAGTGATCTTAACACACCTGGAGGGTTGCATGTTAAAAGGGGTTAAAGATGAATCTGACCAATAAAATATATTACCTTCCTTAAATATACATCCTTTCATGACAATGTTGTATATATCGTTTGATTAAAACAACCGACAACTCACAAAAATCTGAAGAATTTCCGGCCGCCGTGTTGCCGTTTTGCGAACACGTCAAACGAAGCGCGGGAAATTAAGTGTACCGTTTCGATTTCTTTTTTTTTCAGTTCTCGAAAATACAGAGAGAGAGCCGAAAATGGTACCAACACCACTTTCTTTACCGTTCTTTGCTACATATGTGAAGAAAAATAATAGTAAAAATTTGGAGCCGTTTCTGAGATATTTATTTAAAAGTTAAAAATTGCATGTTTCACGAAAAATTAAGCAAAAATGCTCATATTTTCGAAATAATGTTCATGAACTAATATAATGATGTTTCTATTTCATACGTTTCATTAAGAAACTAGTGGTGCTACAGAATGGCAGAATTTCCCGTAATAGTTTTCTATTTCCTGTCGTCTCGGATAGCTATTCGAACTTGCCACATACCACTTGCCTGTAGCCATTTATCGCCGCCCGAAGTACACTTTTTTGAATTTTTTTTTTAATTTTTCGGTTTCCTAAAAATAAATGGAAATATTATTTTAGGAATATTAATGAACAGAAAAACCTCGACCTAAAGGGTAATTTTCTTTGAAATATTTGGAGCCGTTTTTAAGGAAATGGCGCTTAAGCGTTAGAATTCGAAATCTGAAGCTCTTTTTAACAGAAAGGTTTTGAGTTTTCGAAAAACTTCATTTAAAGCGCTTCAAACACAGCAAAGCAAATAAAATACTGTTTACAAATTGCTAAAAATGTACATATCAACGGCGTGAGATCTTTAAAAAATTTACATTTGTGTAATTTTTGAAAAAAATACACCGAAATGAACTTTACGTCATATCCAAGAGTGCAATTTACACTCTCCGTTCGAAATGTTTGAAGAAAAAATTTTCATCTGTTTTTTGAGAAAATTGCATTTGAGCGTTTCTAAAAATGCGGAATTTTGAGCTAGTTTTCACAGAAAACGGTTGAGTTTTTGAGAAACGTTATCTGACATTATTTCTGACATTATTTGAATCACATGTATTACTAAATTCTCGTATAATAATGTGAACAAATTG